TGTGCCTATAGGCCTCCATCCACAGCACATTTATGCAGGCATTGCAAATGACCTCAGAATTCTGGATACTTGGCGTTCATCGAGAGTATCACTCCAATGCCACCAGATCTCATCATTGGTCATGGATGGGTCCCCTCCCTCTCTGATCTCCTGCAGGGCTGGATTTCATGGGTGCTCTGTAGAACACAGTGATCACAGAATTGAACACAATTCTCTTGGTTTTTCTCAACAGGTTCCCATCAAATTCTGTCTTAGTCAATACTTTCTGGACTCTAGAAACTCATTAATGCAACTGCACTTACCTCTAAATTGACTCAATGATCCTCTGATGGTTTCTTCTCATTCTTCAGGGCTCTAGGCTCTCACAGTACCACAGTGGTTTGAGTGGGGTCTTGATCTCAGCATGGTGGTATGATCCGTTGGGTCAGCCTTTCTGAAGGGTACAAAGCAGAGGATAGAGACACCAGGATGAGAATGTTGGTCATTAGTCAATGCCCTCTTGTTTTTCTAGGCAGCATGTCTTAGGTCTCTTCACAGGGAGCACTGATTTCTGGCCGTTTCCAAGAGAAAATCACTTGTACTCTTCCAAGTAGAGTGTCCTGTCCTGCATCAAGACAGCACCTCATCTCCTGCACCTTTCACAAGGCCTGTAGAGACACATGGCCATGATTTTCTCCACACAGGAAATTTCTCTTTCCCAGGGACTTTGTTGTAATCTTGACTAACACCCAGCCATGTTCACTTGGTCAAGTACCTAGGAACTGATCCAAGACTGGACCCGTTCATTCATCCCAGACGAGTATTTTGGGTAGAAGCAAAGTTGGGTCAAGGTAGACTGCCCTGTGCCTGACCTCAGACATCTGTTCACATGGCTGTCATCGAGACATACTCAGATGCCACCAGATTTCATCATCGGTCCCTGTTTGGCCATTCTGTCTGGAGCCTACGTGACAGCTCAGTGTGGCAGCTCGGGAGGAAAAACTAGAGGAACCCACTCTGCACTGGGAGACCTCACTACTTGCCCTTAAAGCCCGCAGTGAGTTCACTGCTATTTTCTGTATCCTGCCTGCCATAAGGCTCTTGATGTGACTGTTCCTACCTGTCATCAGGGGCCAAAAGGAAGATTAATGCTGCCAGCCACCATGGAATCGGTACTGACACCATGATATCCCAGGAAATCATGAAAATGTCTAACTTCTGCCATTACTTCATCTCTGGAGGGGACAAGAGGGAAAAGGAAATAAATATTGAGACTTTCTCTTCCAGAAACCTACAATGTCTACCTTACAAGAGGAGTTGCAAAAAAATTTCTCTAAAGTATGGGGCTTATCATCCTGCATAATAAAGTAGATGTTCAACCTCAGGTTGACAAACATACAAGGCAGACCACAGGCTGCATAACTCTTGATTTTAAGTAGTATTTGCATATAAACATCTAGCCCACAATCCACAGGTCCACAAGGAACGGGCATGTGCCCATGGGCCGCCATCCACAGCTTAGTACATTAAAGCGCGCATCGGGATTGACCTCAGATTTCCGGAACTTGGCATTCATCGAGTATCACTCAAAGGACACCAGATCTCATCATCGGTCCCTGGTTGGCCGCTCAGTCCGGAGCCATCGGGATTGGCTCACTCTCTGCTCAGTGTGGCAGCTCGGGAGGCCACACAAGAGGAACCTATTCTGCACTGGGTGACATCACCACCTGCCCTAAAAGCCCGCAGTGAGTTCACTGCCATTTTCTGTGTCCTGCCTGCCATAAGTCTTTTGATGTGACTGTTCCTACCTGTCATCAGGTGCCATCTAGAGGATTAATGAAGCTGCTGTTTGTCACCTGGGGCTTCTTTCCTGACACCATGGCGTCCCGGGATATCATCATCATGGCCAAGTTCTGCCATCACTTTGGTTTCCATTCTGGAGGGGACAGGGCAGAGAAGGAAATAGAAATATTGAGACTTTCTCTTCCCGTATATCCAGACTGTCTACCTTTCAAGGGCTATAGCATACATCTTTCTCTCAATGGAATTGGCCTTTTCATTGAGAATATTAAAATAGATGGTCAACCGTAGGCTAACAAAAATACAAGGCAGACCACAGGCTGCATGACCCTTGAGTCTAAGCAGTATTTTTGCACTGCTATTCAGCCCACAGTCCACTGTCCACAAGGGATGGGCATGTGCCTATAGGCCTCCATCCACAGCACGTTTATATAGGCATTGCAAATGACCTCAAAATTCTGGATACTTGGCGTTCATCGAGAGTATCACTCCAATGCCACCAGATCTCATCATTGTCGTGGATGGGTCCCCTCCCTCTCTGACCTCCTGCAGGGCTGGATTTCATGGGTGCTCTGTAGAACTCAGTGATCACAGAATTGAATATATTTCTCCTGGTTTTTCTCAACAGGTTCCCATCAAAGCCTGTCTTAGTCAATACTTTCTGGACTCTAGAATTATAAAACTCATTAATGCCACTGCACTTACCTCTAATCTTGACCCAAAGATCCTCAGAGGGTTTCTTCTCATTCTTCAGTGCTCTAGGCTCTCACAGTACCACAGTGGTTTGAGTGGGGTCTGGATCTCAGCACACTGATACCATCAGTTCGGTCAGCCTTTCTGAAAGGTAAAAAGCAGAGAATGGAGAGACCATGATGAGAATGTTGGTCGTTAGTCAATGTCCTCTTGTTTTCCTAGGCTGCATCTCCTTGGTATCTTCACTGAAAACACTGATTTCTGGTCATTTCCAAGGGGAAATGACTGGTACTCTTCAAAGTAAAGTGTCCTGTTCTGCATCAAGACAGCACCTCATCTCCTGCACCTTTCACAAGGCCTGTGGAGACACATGGCCATGATTTTCTCCACTCAGGAAACTCCAGTTTCCCAGGGATGTTGTTCTACTCTTGCCCAGCACCCAGCCAATGTTCTTTCAGTCAACTACCTTAGACCTGATTCTAGTTCTGGTCTTGCTCTTTCCTCCCAGACCGGTAACTACGTTATAGGAGAGTTGGGCAAAGGTAGATTGCTCTCTGCCTGAACTCAGATAATATCTGTTCCCATGGCTGTCATTAAGGAGCCATCGGGATTGGCTCACTCACTGTTCAGTGTGGCAGCTCGGGAGGCCACACTAGAGAAACCTACTCTGCACTGGGTGACCTTACCATTTGCCTTTAAAGCCTGCAGTGAGCTCAATGCTATTTTCTTCACCCTGCTTGGCATAAGGCTCCTAACATGACCATTCCTACCTGTCATCAGGTGAGAAAAGGATCAATGCTGTTGTTGTCCACTACCATGCGCTCATTACTGACACCATGGCTTCTCAGGAAATTATGATCATGGCCAACTTCTGCCACCACTTCATTACTTCACTGGAGGGGACAAGGTAGATAAGGGAACAGAAATATTGAGACTTTCTCTTCGCGAAGACTCACACTGTCTACCTTTCAAGGTGGGTGGCACACAAGCTTTCTCTCTAAGGAAATGGGGTTATATTGAGAATATTAAAATAGATGGTCAACCTCAGGCTGACAAAAATACAAGGCAGACGACAGGCTGCACAACTCTTGATTCTAAGTAGTATTTTTGCACTGATACCCAGCCTACAATCCACTGTCCACAAGGGACGGGTATGTTCCTACGGGCCACCATCCTCAGCTTAGTACATTTAAAGCGGGCATTGGGATTGACCTCAAATTTCTGGAACTTGGCATTCATCGAGTATGACTCAAATGCCACCAGATCTCATCATCGGTCGTGGATGGGCCCCCTCTCTCCCTGTCTTCCTGCAGGGCTGCATTTCGTAGGTGCTCTGTAGAACTCAGTGATTACATAATGGGATACATTACTTTTTGGACTCTGTTAATGGAAAAATACCGAAGGTCAATGCACACACCTCTAATCTGGTCCCAAATGAAGGTCAGATGGTCGCCTCTCAGTCTTCAGTGACCTGGCTACCACAGGACAACAGTGGTTTGTATGGGTTCCCATCTCAGAATGCTGGCACCATCAGACATGTAGGCCTGTCTAAAGGCTACAGAGAAAAGGATCAAGGACCATGATGAGAATGTTGGCCATTATTCAATGTCTTCTTTTTTTACCTATGTTGCAGCTCTTTGGTCTATTCATAGGGGCACTAATTCCAGTCAGGAACCCATAATGCCCCAACCATATTCTTGCAAACCAGCCTAGCTGCCAGCCATATACCCTTGGTTAATGGGCTTGGACCTATTTCCAGGCTGGCCCTGCTCTCTTTTCTGACAAAGAACTCAGAGAGCACCAAAAGTGATCAAAGAGAGATTGGTCTGTGCCTGACCTCAGATATCTGTTCACATGGCTGTCATTGAGAAACACTCAGACGCCACCAGATCTCATCATCGGTCCCTGGTTGGCCGCTCTGTCCGGAGCCATCGGGATTGGCTCACTCACTGCTCAGTGTGGCAGCTCCAGAGGCCACACTAGAGGAACCTACTCTGCACTGGGAGACCTCACCACATGCCCTAAAAGCCCGCAGTGAGTACACTGCTATTTTCCATACCCTGCCTGCCACAAGACTCTTGATGTGACCATTCCTACCTGTCGTTAGATGCCAAAAGATGGATCAATCGGTTGTTGTCAGCAACCAGGGGCTGTGAAACGAAACCATGGCATCCTGGGATATCACCATCACGGCCAACTTCTGCTATTACTTCTGTTGCCTCTCTGGAGTTGACAAGGCAAAAAGGGAATAGAAATATTGAGACTTTCTCTTCCTGTAGACTCACAATGTCTACCTATCAAGGGGGTTGAATACCAGCTTTCTCTCTAATGAATTGGGCTTATGATTGCGAATAATAAAGTAGATGGTCTAATTCAGGCTGATAAAAATACAAGGCAGACCATAGGCTGCACGACTCTTGATTCTAAGTGGTATTTTTGCACTGCTATCCAGCCCACAATCCACTCTCCACAAGGAACGGGCATGTGCCTATGGGTCACCATCCAGCTTAGTACATGAAAGCATTGGGATTGACCTCAGATTACCAGAACTTGGCATTTATCAAGTATCACTCAAAGGACGCCAGATCTCATCATCGGTCGTGGATGGGCCCCCTCTTTCCCTGACCTCCTGCAGGGCTAGAATTCCTGGGTGCTCTGTTGAATGCAGTGATCACATAATGGGATACATTACTTTCTGAACTCTGTTAATGGAAAATCACCTAAGGTCAATGCACACACCTCTAATCTGGTTCCAAATGGAGGTCAGATGGTAGCCTCTCAGTCTTCAGGGTTCTGTGCTCCCAAAGGGACCACCATGGGTTGAATGGGTTCCCATCTCATCATGCTGGTACCTCAGAAGTGTTGTTCTTTCTGAAGGGTAGAGAAGAAAGGATCGAGAAATCCTGATAAGAATGTCAGCCGTTATTCAATGTCCTCTTCTATACCTAAGGTGCACCTCTTTGGTTTCTTCACAGGGAACCTAATTGCTTGCCATTATCACAAGAAAATGGCTGGCACTTTTCTAAGTAAAGGGTGCTACCTGCATTGGGACAGCACCTTGTACCACTGCTTTGTTGCACGAGGCCTGTGGGAACTCCTGAAAGAGATTTTCTCCACTCAGGAACCCATAATGTACTACTTGTTTTCTTGCAAACCTGCCTAGCTGCCAGCCATATCCCTGAGCTAATGGGCATAGACCTGATTCCAAATTAGCCCTGCTCTTTCCTCTTGAACAAGTACCTCAGGGACCACCATAGGCGGTCAAAGAAAGATTGTTCTGTGAATGACCTCAGATATCTGTTCACATGGCTGTCATTGAGAAACACTCAGACGCCACCAGATCTCATCATCGGTCCCTGGTTGGCAGCTCAGTCCGGAGCCATCGGGATTGGCTCTCTCTCTGCTCAGTGTGGCAGCTTGGGAGGCCACACTAGAGGAACCTATTCTGCACTGGGTGACATCACCACCTGCCCTAAAAGCCCGCAGTGAGTTCACTGCCATTTTCTGTGTCCTGCCTGCCATAAGGCTTTTGATGTGACTGTTCTTACCTGTCATCAGGGGCCAAAAGGAAGATTAATGCTGCCAGCCACGATGGAATAGGTAATGATACCATGATATACCAGGAAATGATGAAAATGTCCAACTTCCGCCATTACTTCATCTCTGGAGAGGACAAGAGAGAAAAGGGAATAGAATTATTAAGACTTTCTCTTCTTGAGACCCACAATGTCTACCTTTCAAGGGGAGTTGCATACAAACTTTCTCTCTAAAGTATGGGGCTTATCATCCTGCATATTAGAGTAGCTGGTCAACCTCAGGCTGGCAAAATACAAGGCAGACCACAGACTGCACGGCTCTTGATTCTAAGTAGTAATATTTTTTTCTTTTCTTTTTTTTTTTTTTTTTTGGTTTTTCAAGACATGGTTTCTCTGTGTCTTTGGAGCCTGTACTGGAAATAGCTCTTGCAGACCGTGGTGGTCTCGAACTCACTGGGATCCGCCTGCCTCTGCCTCCTAAGTGCTTGGATTAAAGGTGTGCGCTACCACCTCCCGGCCTAAGTAGTATTTGCATATAACCATCCAGCCCACAATCCACAGGTCCACAAGGAACGGGAATGTGCCTATGGGCCGCCATCCACAGCTTAGTACATTAAAGCGCATCGGGATTGACCTCAGATTTTTGGGAGTTGGCGTTCATTGAGTATCACTCCAACGCCACCAGATCTCATCATTGGTCGTGGATCGGCCCCCCTCTCTCTCTGACCTCCTACAGGGCTGGATTTCATGGGTGCTCTGTGTAACACAGTGATCACAGAATAGGATGCATTTCTGTGTGGTTTTTCTTAACACGTTCCCATCAAATCCTCTCTTAGTCATTACTTTCTTGAATCTAAAATTATAAAACTCATTAATGCCACTGCACTTACCTCTAATCTTGACCCAATGATCCTGAGAGGGTTTCTTCTCATTCTTCAGGGCTCTAGGCTCTCACAGTACCACAGTGGTTTGAGTTGGGTCTCGATCTCAGCACGCTGAGACCATCAGTTGGGTCAGCCTTCCTGAAGGATACAGAGCAGAGGAAGGAGAAACCATGATGAGAATGTTGGTCATTAGTCAATGCCCTCTTGTTCTCCTAAGCTGCATCTCTTTGGTCTTTTCACAGGAAGATTTCTGGACATATCCTAGAAAAAACTAACTGGTATTCTTCCAAGTAAAGTGTCCTGTCCTGAATCAAGACAGCACCTCATCTCCTGCACCTTTCACAAGGCCTGTGGAGACACATGGCCATGATTTTCTCCACTCAGAAACTTCTACTTTCCCAAGGACTTTCCTCTAATCTTGCTCAGCACCCATCATGTTCCCTTGGTCAACTACCTAGGAACTGCTTCCAGTTCTGGTCCTGCTCCTTCCTTCCAGATCAATAAGTATGGTAAAAGGAAAGTCGGGCAAATGTAGACTGCTCTGTGCCTGACCTCAGCTATCTGTTCACATGGCTGTCATCGAGACATACTCAGACGCCACCAGACCTCATCATGGGTCTCTGGTTGGCCGCTCTGTCTGGAGTCATCAGGATTGGCTCGCTCACTGCTCAGTGTGGCAGCTCGGGAGGCTACACTAAAGGAACCTATTCGGCACTGGGAGACCTCACCACCTGCCCTTACAGTCCGCAGGGAGTTCACTGCTATTTTCTGTGCCCTTCCTCACCATGAAGCTGTTAAGAGGACTCTCCTTACCTCTTCTTATGGTCTGCATGAGGATCAATGCTGTAGTTGTCAGCCACCATGGGCTCTGGACTGATGTCTCTCTTTCTTGAATTCTTATCATACTGGAGTCTGTCTGCCATTTTAACATATCTGTGTAGTCGAAGTTATAGAATCCAATTGAATATTCAAACTTCCCTTCTTAAATGCACTCCCCATTCTTATTTTAATGTGTTAAATGTCCTATTTTCTTTTGCCTGTCCTGTAGACCAGAATTCCCTTAAACTGAGACTGAGGTAAATTCATGGCTAATCACTTTCTTCACGACCCAGCTCCTGTGGATAATCTGTTTTTCCACTTTTCTACTCTTTGTGTACTTTGGTAATATCATTTTAGCTACCTCCTTCCATACAGTTAATTCAATTTTGTCTACCTGTCTCGTTATCTTTAGATCATGACAAGTGCCTGAACCAAAGAGTGACAAGTGCTGGGTTTTCTGCATAGCTGCCTCTGTCGCTTGACACTGTAGGCTGCCATATTCTCTGGGCTTTTATTTCTATCTCCCCTTTATTCATCAATCATCAATCAAATGCCAGCACAATATACCAAACTTTCATAATCGGTCAATTCTCCTTCACATCTACATTGAATTATTGATTATTTCTACGATAAACTCATATAGTACCAAATTATTGAAAGGCAAGTCCATTAACCTCGAAACTGTAGAGACTTAATGCATCAGAGATGCCATCTTTTCTATATTGTAGATAGTTTGCCTTTACAGAGAGCATATTTCCCTTCTACCAGTATCATAGTAAGAGTGACTTGACAGGAAACCTGTAATTCCATGTCACTACCCAGATGGTTAGCTCCACCAAGAGAAGCCTGCTGCTCTTGTCTACCCTCAGCTGTGCCCAGCACTGTCACTCCAGGCTACTGTGCATGGACAAGCCTTTGAGTCATTTGAAAGCATTTCTTAGGGTGTTTAGACCACATTAATGCACCTCTCCATTTGTCTTTGATGTTTTCTTACATTGAATGCATTATATCATTATTTGGAAATTATTTATATTATCTTTTACAAAATGACCTACTTCCAACTAAGCAAGAAGACGAACATTATCTATAATTTTCTCTATCCCATCTTTACACAAAATAATGATTCACATGACCCTTGCTTCTTTTTGAAATATGTTGGTATTCTGTAGGGTGTTTTTGTCTTGTTCCTTATGTTTATAATTAGAGTAATCTTCCCTCTTTCCTCTTTTTCTATGCTTTTCTATTTTTATTGTTTGACTGATATTCAATACACAATGCGTTAAATTAAAACATGAAATAGGTGAACATGGAGTGCACACCTGCCGCCAGATGGACCTCTGAGACTGATTTGTGAGTATCATCCTGGACTCGTACCAACTCATTTAATGTTGACTGTTTATTTAATACTTTATTCATTAATTACAATGGAAATCTCTATTATCCTTCCTGAATACTGAAAGGAGATAGAACCTCCTCCTGTGCAAAGAAACAGCTCTCACTAATTTTCCTTCTGTGATGAGCATTGGTCTTACAGGCACATCCAATTCAATGTTCTAATTCATGACAATTTAATTTGTTTCATCAATCACAATTGACCTAATGAAATCATATTTCACGTAATTGTTTATATACTTATTTATCTGTGTTGGGAATGAGAGCCATGGAAACAGCAGGAAATCTTTAGGGTTCTAAGTATCCAGCTAAGGACATCAGGCTTTTGTGCTGAGGCATCTCACTGCCCCATACCCCTCACTGCTAAACAGGGCAGTAAACAGCCTTCACAGACCACCAAAATCATGTCAATACAACCAGCCAGCAGTCGCATTGGCTCTATGCTCTAACACAGGCAACTGTTCAGCTGGTGACCATGGAAGATGGCGTGATCCCCATAGAGATGCCCACTCTAGGGAGCGCAACCGATAGAGGAAGAGAGGCAGAAATGGGAAACATCCTTTCCTAAGTTTGATTATCCACTTGTCTGTGTGTGGCATCTCTTATCGCCAGACACCTAGGCCTGTCACCTGACATGCAGATGCTGACAGTCGTCATCCATCAGGCCACTTAGAGCCCACTCTACTGATTCCTGTTTATCTGATTGTTTTATAATAAATAAACATAAAATTTTTGAACTTTGTATCAATTATTATTTAACTGTTAATTTATAGGTTTTTGAATGCAAATTATATCTGTTCATATGGTGCATAATAACAACAGTGTAGCTAACTGTTTTGTTTTGTCCAAACTTTTTTTTAAATTTGAGTCCAGCATGTAAGAAACACACATATTATTGTAGATTAGTTTGTTATTTGCTGCCTAAGTTTCACTTGTGAGTGCTAAATTCGACGCGACAGGTATATGGGAACTATAGTCATCATTAACAAACTAGTTTCCCTAAATCTTTTCTAAAAGGTCTGGATCCAAATGCTGCCACCCCGAGTATAGCTGTGATACAGACCCAGAATAATGCCCATGTTAATATAAATCTTAACATCGTATTTGTAGCCACAGTGGCCACATGATAAGGAAGACTTTAGAGAAGGGAGCTCAAATTCACCATCCATCCAGGACTGGACCTGTTTCCCTCTATAGCTTCTACTTTGTCTACCGATTAATCACTAAGTCGCTTGTCTTGTAAAGAGCTTTCTAATGTCAGTGTATTTGCTCTGATAATAAATCTGTTTTCTGTATCTGCGTGACTCTATATGCTACTACATATGAACTGTAGGTATTACATATACATGGTTAAATGTTACATTGTCCATTGATAGAAAGCATAACCTTCGATGTCATCTACACAATGAAAAAGCGTAACCACTGCTTACCCTTGTCCCAACATCTAACCTAGCAATATGACTAAAGAACGGGGACAGTGGAATACGCAGACATCTCCCTGGGAGTAGCAACTCCTGTGAGCACAGAACGGAACAAGGGATAAAAAGTGACTTTCTCTTCCACAGGTACTTATCATTTCTGTGGGACCTCAGAGCTTCAGACACACCATTCATCATCAGAAACTCATGGACTGGCAGTTATGGTCACTGATGGAGGGACAGGCCAATTTCTCTTTATTCTTATATACAATGCTTGCTTAGTAATCCATTAATCCACCAGTGATGCGTCTTGAAGCCCATATATGAAGAATATGCTATCTGGGAGATAATATCCACAGACTTTGGTTATCTAAGGTCAACTCTTCGGTACATCAGTTACTCAGTTAAAATATTCATCCTAGGCCCCAAATCTATCTCCGCATATTTTTAAAACAGAGAGTAAGCTGTCCATGAAAATCAAAGCAAGACCTATTACTCACCCTGATGTCCGGATACCAGTGAGAAAGCACAACTGAACGCCAGCCATGGAAAATCCCAGCCCCAGCTCAGATGATTCCATCGGGAAGAACACAGAGCTCCATCAGGAAGAACACAGAGCGGGCAGATAAACAGAAAAAACAAAAAGCTGGGGACATTCTCTTCACAGACCTTTGGTTTTTAGCTTTGCTTTCAGAATTGACTCATTTAAATTAATGATGCAAGCTTTACCTTAACAAACGATGTAGAAACAAATTTAACACAGCCCCACATCCAGACGATAAACAAGGCCTGACAATCTGGTGCCTATGGTAGCTGAGGATGGAAGTGTAGGAGCTACACTCCCTGCCCACTGCGCCTCACTGTTTTCACAGCAACATATCCAAGTGTCCCTGACACACTGCAGGTTTATATTTGACTAATACATCAGTAATTGATGGAGTTATGGTTCCACTGCTTAATTCTAATGTCATAAGCAACAATTACCAACATATGCGCCAGCCTTCGACTACTTAAAACTTTCCAACTATGTCCAGATGAGTGGTTCTCAAACGTCCTAACGCTGCAACGCTGATTCGGTTCCTCACATTGTGGTGTCTCCCAACCATCAAATTATTTTCATTGTTACCTTAGAACTGTAATTTTGCTACTGTTATGAATCATAATGTGAGTGTCTGATATGCACCATATCTGATATGCACTCCCAAAGGGGCTTGCAACCTACAGGGTGAGAACTGCTTTGCGAAGACATCTCACAGGCATGCAGTCCCTGTGATAAGGTCATTCAATCCCCAAAGGATTTATGACCCACGGGATGAGAACCATTGGACTAGAGGATATCTTGTACCAAGAAAAAGACGATCCTCTATTTTTGTTAGCTACTAGAGTCCAGATATGTTTCATGAAGTGTGTGAGGCTCACTCTCAACACCCCCTCTCACCATTGCTTCATACTGTAACCTATCTTTCACTTGAATTTACTTTATTCTAAGCTAATAATTATAGTAAATCAATAAAACAGCCTGATCCACAAAAATGAACATGACGTTGGACAGCTTAATATCTGTCTGTGGAATCTTAGCCACCTGAGATTTTATCTTTTGTTAATTGGCCTCAGCGTGGCAGCGATCAATCAGGAACCACAGCAGCCGACATCAATCTCTCATTAGCCTCCAGCTAAGTTTTATTTGGATGAGCGGTGTCCCATGCTATCTGTCACATTCCTTTATCCCCTCATGAGCTAATGGCTACTCGAATCTATCCCCTATCGGCAACCAAAGACAGTAGCACAGGGACTATGGGAGAGCAGGTGTCTCTGGCACAAATGCGTCATTTCCTTTTCATCCAGACACACAAGGCAGTTGGACTATAAGGCAATTCTATGGGTTTGTTGTTGTTTTTTATGAATCTCCATGCTGTTTTCTATGATTTTCTACTAAATTCTCATTCCCATCAACAGTGTGTACAGGAAACCCTCTATTTACCCCTTTACTTATCATTGCTAAACTTTCTTGATAACAGCTTCCTTACTGGAGTGAGGGGGTCTTGCTGTGGTTTTGATTTGCATTTCTCTGGTGGTTGATCATGATGAGCATTCTTTCATAGACTGCTTGACTGAGACATACATACTTCTGTCTATTAAAAATCATTTACTGTTTTCTATTGAGTTTTAGGCTCCTTATTTACCCTGGATATAAGTTTCATGTTCGAGACTTTCAGTCATAAGGAAGAATGGCATACAGTAATTTTTAGTGATATGGACGGCAATGGAGATGATCACATTGAAGATGGGCTAAGCACAGAAAGACAAATACAATACTGTCTCGTTCTTGTGGGACGTGAAAGAGTTCATCTCCTGGGAGCTGAGAGTGGAGTGATGGTTACCAGATGGGTTAGTGGGAGAAGAAAATGGAGAAAAGTTACTGTTATAGTTCAATGACCTTCAGAAACCCCAGGCTGTTATATACTGCGGAGAAAGTCTTGTTCATAGTTTCTTAATATCTCAAAGGAGTAGAAGACAGCAGAATTTCAGGATAATAAGGAAATTATTTGGGGGGGGCGGTATGGATATGCTTAAACTTCCTGAAAAATTACTAGCATGTATCAGGATGTCACTTTGATCATAACTATCTGTTTGGTTTCAGACAAAATGAGAAAACAAAGACAGCATCGAGTTGCTTCATTTTTCTTCTATCCCCCTCCCCCATCTACTGTTAAAATCATCAGGGCATAGTTAACTCATTGTCTACTTCTTCTAAAGAAAATAATTAACATAACACCATGGCTACTTTTAATCAGTTAAGCAAGGAAAATAAGCCTGCTGGCTGCTACTCACTCTGCAGGCACACAGCACAGCAGGGAGCGACAGAGAAGGGCTGTTCTTGTTCAGCACCTCCATCTGGGGAGTACAAAGCAGAGCAGAGAGCTGGACATGGTCTCTCCAGTGACTCATGTTTCTACCATTCTTTAGCATAACCTTCTACGTGCTCACTGCAAATGTATTTATTTTCTCCTTAAAGAACTTCAAATTTATAATTGACATAATGTAATGATTAAAGATTTCTTATCAACATCATTTTAGTGCAGGATTATAATACAATTGATCAATTTCTGCTGAAATTGTGTCAAATGAATAAAATCCAGCACTTGACTGACCTACATAGCAGAGCTGGGAGTTTGAGGCTAGCCTGGTCCATATAGGGAGACCTCAATAGAAAAAAAAAATATCTAATACCTATATCCTGATTGCATAAATGTACACAATTGTAATTTCTTCATCTCTGTTCATCTGTATACTTGTTTATTCAATCTTCTTTGATGTGTTTATAGTAATAAAAAGGCAGACATAAACCAGTGATAGTGGTTGCTGTCGAATGAGGTAGCGTTAGATGGGGGATGGTTCTCCTTTCTCTAACACTTGCTATCCTTGTGTATTGTTTGATGAACCAAGAGAAATATATAAACTACACGATGCAAGGCAAATATGAATTAATGTCCCTAAATTCATCTACAGATTGAACCTGTTAACCCTTAGACTGTTTTAGTTACTGCCTTCATTTCTTACTATAAGGAATAATCCCTAAATACTTCTAATAACCTTATATTATAGATGATCTGCTTTGATACCTCTGAGGGTTTTTTTTAGATTAAAATATGATTTCCTAAAATACAGCAAAAAAAAAAGAACATTAACTACTGCTCACAATGAATAGTAGGGATATGAGCAACAAAGAGGGGAGTCACATAAGAATCCATCTTCTTATGGCATCTATCCTGAAAAGTACATAACAGAACAGAAGATGAAAAATTAACAATCTCCTCCTCCAGTCCTGCTTATCATTTCATCCGTTGTGTTAGACCTCAGAGTTCTAGACACATGCCATTCATCCTCTGCAACTCGTTCGCAGATAGCTGTTATCACTGGTCCAGGGAAGGCCCAATATCCCTTCCCTTATAATTCTATAGTGTGTGCCGACTAATCTATTAAGTCACTAATACTATTCCTAAAAAGCCTATGACTGGAAAAATCCAAAACGAACAAAGCTATTGTAATCCAGACTGATGCCTGGATACATACACACCTTCAGTTAGTTATCCCTAGCTCTTCATACATATGCTAAGCAGTACAATTATTCCTTAGAATCTAAAATGTAAAATGGGTTCACTTGGTCTTATATGACTACACCGTAAAATCCTAAAAATACAGTGTATTCCCCACTAAATCAAGCACCCAACCCCAAATAGGAATTATAAATATTACTTACATTTTTCTCCAGGATCCTGAGAAAGATGGACTATGGAGAACATTACCATGGAGAATCCATCAGCTCACACAGGACCATAGGGAAGAGCAGGGAAAAGAACATATTATTTAAAAAAATCTAAGAAAACAAAAATTGAGACTTTTTCCCCATTGGCCCTTAACTTTAATCTTTGGCTTAGTGTGGTGGTTCTCAGCCTCCCGGAAGCTGTCAACCTTTAATACAGCTTTTCATACAGCCATAAAATTATTTGCATTGCTACTTTATAACTGTGATTTTGCTACTGTTAGAAATTATAAATATTTGATATGCGACCCCTGTGAAAAGGTCGCAACCCATAGAATAAGAACCAGCTCTTTAGAGTCATTTGTATAATCATTTACTTAACCGTGTGAGGTTTTTGTCTTAAGAAGAGAGAATTTTAAATTTTTCCATATGTTGAGAACACTGGCTTCACCATATAGTCTGAACCATCCTAAGCCAAGGAAGAACGAGTAAGGGAATCAGACATCCAAATCAGGATCTTACTGTTTTCTTAGCATATTATAATGTTCCAAGTCATGTATTTTCATAGTTAAACAGTATTTCATTAATTGAGTGATTGATATTCTGATTCATCTAATTTTGACACAAAGGCCAGCTTTGAATTTTGCCAAGTCTGAATTGAAGACACCTTCTGATGATACAATGAATTGTATTTCTTTTTCATTTAACTCCAGAGTCTGCACGCGTTTTATTTACCCTACAAGGGTCATTGGACAGTGGCCACCATCACTGGTTCATGTTTGACTTTTTACTTATAACATTTCTATTTTTATCCTAAGTGATTAATTAAAGTAAATCAATAAACATGATTCATAAGCTCAGAATATGATGCGTGGCGCATCTGACCTGACTGTCTTTCAAAGGGAACAAAAGACCACTGCATATATTAAAGCACACTGTCTGTTCTCTCTCTGATAAGGTTTTTTTTTTCTTTTCAGTTTTCTGCAGTATTATGACTCTTTAGGTTAATGTGTGTGTGTATTTGTATTGTCTATTCTAAGAGAATTTCCTACTCCCTTTAGGATGACCCCTGTGTCTCTTTCAACTTTATGGCCTTTTTTTTTTTTCATATAACATATGGAGTGTAAAACTAATGCTACCTAAATGTGCATGAGTGTGAATCCAACCACTGAAGAAAGTTACTAGGCTATTAAGCCCTTGTCAGATTCTATTGGGACACAAATTAATTTTAAAAAATTGACATTGTGGATGGAGTCAAAGACATTAATGTAAAGAGAAATAATTCAGGCACAGAAGGGCAAGTAGTACATGAACTCATTCATGTTGGAAACTGACATCAGGGCAGTTGGGAGTTGAATGGTAGTTAGCAGAGACAGGGGAGGGTATAGGGAGGCAGAAGAGGTAAGGGAGAGTCAAGGGATGCTGAGTCACTGTTAGATGGCTTTGGTGCAGGATGCATAGGAAAGTGACTTTAGTTAACAACCATATTGGTTCTCTTTCTCTATTTCATGGTAGTTTGTTGATTAATTCACAGACTTAAAAAATATAAATATAGTAAAAATAGACTCTTGAACGGTCACCAAGATGCTTCTATATAATTGCTTCCAAAGCATTCAGAAGGATACAATAAACGAAGCTAGGTGGGTCATGCACAAAGGGTTCAACATAATAGAGAAATCCAGTCTACCAAAGGCACATTTCAGCGTCTCTAGTGAACTGCGATTCTTTTGAAAAGTCAGAAGAGTCACAGCATATTATTATGCCTCATTTCGAGCTTCTGACACAGGCATGTAACCATGGAGCTCAAGCCCATGGAAGGACATGTGCCCCGGCTCCTAGCATCCAGGCTCGGGGCATCAAAGCAAAATAGCTCATTAAAAAGATGGGGTAATCTATTTTCGTTTTGCTTACCATTCTTCCCTCAGTTGGCTATTTAGGAAGTCATTATTTGCGGGCTCTTTATGCTCCTTTCTTTGACCCAGATGCGGACTATTATCTATTAATTATACTGTCTACCTCATCTCTAGCCAAAGAGGACGTGAAAGTACAAGTTATTTCTAGCCAGACAACAATGCTTTCAAACAAACAGGATGGAAATAAATGAAGACGTAATCTGAAAACAAATACATCCCATCTTACTGATAGAATGATTTCAAATAGAAAACTGAACCCGAAGCTGGGCCCGGAGTCCATTGCCTATGAGTCAGAAGGTACCATTGATCGATGATCCAGGATCGAGTCTTCTTTTCTATATACAGTTCTACTTTTCATATTGATCAATTAGTATAAATAGAAATCCTATGATATTCGACCACTTACAAAGGGTGCTATTATTACTAATCTATAGATGGAAGCTCTCTAACACTGACATATGCATTACATTAATCCATGACCGTTTCCATATTATCATTATGAATAAAAAATTTCGTGAACTTGCTTTCACCATGCTGTCATCGTCTTGGGTCAGGGTTTCAACTTTTCCTTTCCCCTTACTACATTTATCTGTTAAGTTTCTAATTAGTTAACAATAACAAACACCTGCCTTCTGATAAATCAATTTATTGCAGTATCCATTAAAATTGTCCATACGGCGTCATCTCACTCACAAGGCCAGTCATTCAGGAACCAACCACACTGCTGTAAAGTCCACTGAAGAACAGATTTGGATTGATCCCTTAGCAGCTTCTGGCTGAATTTTCTGACTACATATTTGGATTTCTTGAACAATTTGGTGAATTGTTTTTTTTTTTTTTTAAAAAAAAAGCTACTAATAGGGAAAAAAAATTCCCTATTGCTGGTTGTCATCTCTGTGCTCTTGGCAGCAGGATTTTATAACCATGCTTTAGTTAACTCAGTGTATTTATTCTGAAGCGCAGATGCAAGGATGCTAAAAAAATATTAAGAGAGGCCAAGTGTAGTAGCACTTAATCCCAGGACTCAGAGGTAAACGGATCTGGGTCAGGACAAGGCCAGTTTGATCTGCATAACCAAATTTCAGGACTACATAGCGAGACCCTCTCTCAAAACAACAACAATTTTTTAAAAGCCACAATTTTCCATTAATGCATGCCTTTCAAATTCCATTTTCTTAGTCATTTTAGTATTTATTACTATGTGGTATGGTGGGGTTTTTTTTTTTCAGTTAAGTTTGTTGTTGCTTTTCTTCAGCATATGAATACTTGAGCTCTTATTGGGCCCAAAGTGAGAACTCTGACTATCCCATGACATGACTCAACCCAAACCCATACCTGTACCCTGACAGGCAGCCTCCCCCAATCCACTTCCTGTTTGGTGAGCTTAGGGACCAAGACATATGAATACTGGTCTTGTCTCACTCACCATGTGCTCTCCTGCTTGTAGATACCATTCTCTTCATGTTACATACTTCCATGTTTGTTCTTCAAAATCAAACCTGCGATGCGACAAAGACGGAGAGGATGATCCCTGAATATTACTAAAATCTGTGTGCTCATCCCCACAGAGACAAACATGCAAATCCCCGCTTGCATCAGACCTCGGAAGGTCATAGATGCTTTGGCTATAAAAACATTTGGGAGGCTAGGTGCTGCACGTCCTGGGTTGTCCTTCCTTGCTCTTCCCTGAATAACCGGTATGTTCTTCCAATTACAGCATGAGCCACCATCAGCTCTCTGACTTGGAGCAGAATTTACATCTCTGTACTCCTGCTTCACAATAACAAGTACCATACACACTTATCTCCTAAGGACTATTTAGAGGACACATCAATTCTTTACAAAAACACACACAGTCAAGACACAAGAGTAAAAAGGGACAAAGGGAAAAGTAAGGGATCAGTGCGATAACGGATGCTAACCGGGGCACGAATGTGATCAAACTACGTTATATACATAGGTGAAAATGCCATAATGGAGCCCGCTACTACATACAGTTATTTATACTAATAAAAAGTTGGGGATAGAAAACTACTTTTTTGGGGGAGTTGGCCACCAGCAGGTGGCCCATGCTCCAATGGATAACCACACACCTAGGTAGGTGTATCTGGGAAGTACTATTCTAACTCTATAAGTTAAAAATATTTTAAAGACATGAAAATAATAGAGAGACATGTGTCTGGGAGCAGATAGAACCAAGTTATTGTATATACATATATGACATTTTCAAAGAATAAGAAAAAATATTATTTTTAAAAAATTAAAAGAATTAGTAAACTAGATTTGACCTTTTAAAATTTTGTGCTAATATTTAAATAAATTCTGAGTGTTTACTCATAGTTGTTCAAATAGGCTTGGTTTCCTGCACACTGATTCTATGTATGGTCACATTTTTAACACATACAGTGAGCAAAAATTCCAATGAAGGAAGAGCATTGGCTGGCCTCTTGGCCTCATCCAAATTACAACCCTTGTGCACATTATTAAAAAAAAGTTTAAAAATGTTATAAAAATCTATTCTCTCCATTCTACCATGCCTTTATCCTATGAATGATTCTTTAATGTCTTCTTTTTAACCAAACAGCTGGGAACTCACAACTGACCAGGACAAGGACGTTAGCTATGACATACTCCTGACTGTACTCATGATTTCACTCCTCAGATGAAGGAGGGGACCTTGTAGCTCCTTGCACTGGTTTCGGCAACGCCTGTATACTGGGACCATTTCTATCATCCTGGCCCAGGGAC